AAATGGCTGTCAGTTGTCCATTTTGAATTCAATTTGAAAAACAAAATGATGTGCATCACGGTCTGTACCAAGTTTGAATAAAATATATCTGTAAACTGCTGAGATCCGGTTCCAGAATGCCAGAAATGCTTAAATTTTCAGCACAAAAATACTGCCATTCGACCATCTTGGATCAGATCGTGAAACAAATTGATGTACATACAATTTATGTATAAAACTATGTACACTGTTATAGTGTATGTGTGAAGTTTGAATGTAATTGGTGTAGGCAATAACAGTCAAAAAATAGCAAAACTAGCAAGCTACATCTATAATTGTTTCAGTGCCAGAGAAAATCTTTTCAAAAAACTACCAGCTGCCCCTAAATAAATAAACTTTTTTTTATTATTATTATTATCATTTTTTTTAATTTTAGTGCTTCCATTTCGTTACTTCCTCAGTTTTTCATCTTTATTGTAATATTCTTTTTCTGAGTCAATATCCAAATACGGATACGATTATGCAATAAAGATTATTATTATTATTATTATTATTACACAATTCCTAAAAATCACACATCTACATTATCTTGTCTTCAAAGTAGCAGGATAGTATTTTAAGAAAGGGTCAATGGCTGTAAATCAGGACCAAAGATGATCAAACCTATACATTTTTAGAAAGAATTTAACCTTATTTTTTGGAAAAATACTACTACAGTACATTTTTTTTTTGTCATCTGTGTTTGTTTTAGTATCACAGTTTTTTTTTTTTTTAATTTTCATCAACTTTGGTTTTCTAACATTAATCATATACAACATAGCAGCTCAATGAGTAGACTTGCTTGCAGTCTGTTGCGATTCCGATGAAAAATTCTATATACGTCTTACGGTGGGTCGAGTCGCCGAGCCATGGATCGTAACAATAAACCGGTTTCCGGGGTCTCAGTTGATATGTTAATTAGCCTGTCTTCTGATTGGTTGAAACATATTAGACATGTCAACCATTATTACAAGCCGAATCTGGCCGGTAATGTGAGGGCGCTTACACTGATGGCAGGTCTGTTGGGATTTCGCGGTCACATGATTTTCGCGTTCACCCCTCATTTACGCAATTTATATTTATTTTTCGAAAATTTGGCAAGCAAGTCTACTCAATGAGAAGCATTTCAATATTGCTGATTGGTATTCATAGGAGTTAAAACAATCCCAAAAACGAACACTGAAGGCTGTGACTGCTCAGGTAAGGCCAGACTTTTTTTATTCCTTGTTTCTTGAGTTTTTATAAGGCAATTTTTTTGAGGAGGGTGGGAAAAATATATAATTAATTCTTTTTTTCCATTAGATTTGTGTGATTCTTATTGATCGGAGAGAAGAAATGAAATAAAATTTTATTCCATGTATAACCTTGTTTCTCATCTGCGCGAGACTTCGGTACTTTGATCATGATACTCCCACGAAAATGCAACTTGGATTTGTTTAATATGCGGTGGGCGATAACAAAATGAAGATAAAACAAATATTTTTTTTACAAGTCGGCAGGCGCGAGAAATTACGCTGAAATAAAATTTTATTTTTATTTCATTTTCAGCTCATGTTCATTCAGCGGGTTCGCGAAACAAGGGATAATAAAAGTCTGGCCTAACAGAGGAGTTTCTTTATATATGTACAGCATGGAGAAAGGAATGCATAGTTGAATGCTGTATGCAAATACATACTTTCTTCTGCAGCAGTGTAGATAGTCCCGGGTAACTTAGGATGTGGTTTATCAGTCTTTGCAGCTATCACAACATTAGCTCCATCTCTAGCAGCTTTCAAAGCTATGGCTTTACCAATTCCACGACTTGCACCGGTGATAAAGATCGTCCTGCCAGCTAGTTTTCTGTGGATTGAGAATAACAATTTATCTACAATTTATCCAAACTGTATGTAGTTTGAAATCTTGAAACAATGGTACAATGTAATCTTAAGTGTTCGTTCCCCATGATCTAGTGAAAAGAAACTTCTATTTTATATATTGCATTCTGACATCAGTAATATAGCTGGCAAAACATTAAATTATCACATCACCTGAGTAGAATCATGAAAAGTGCCCTTAAAATACCACTATATGGATTTATGTTGGTACAACTCCCAAGCAAAATCCTAGTACCAGCATTCTGGGAAATTGTTTATGATTTCTAAGAAATATTTCAACAAAACATGGATATCTAATCTGTAAGCAATCTCAATCTAATTTTATTGATATGTTTTTAGGGGCCCAAGCCAATGGGGATGATGCAACTGATCAGAATTTATTGGTCAACTGTTCTGCAGCCATCTTGGTTTGAATTTACGGTAAACAGGCCATTTTAAATCCTTTCTGGTCTAGACACTCATTGGAATATTGGCTATCTGTTTCACGAATAAAAACTTTTAATAGCAGTCATATGTTTAATTTGGCATGAAAGGCCAACATTTCAATGGCCATCTTGGATTTTGTAAGAAATGGTAATTGACCAATTATTTGTGATCAATTTATCATGTCAATGTAAAATTTATCATCTACTCTACTAGCTTTGACTACACTATAAGTTCAACAGATACATGTATACAATTTTGAAAAAATAGAAGTTGACTATCTTGTAGTTAATATATACAATTATTGTTATTATGGTATTACACCGAAGAGTGTGGACAAGAACACTTGAAAAAAGATTATTCACCTCTCCTTGAGTGGAAACAGTTTGTGAGTGAGGAAGTTGAGTTAGCAAGGCCAATGTTTCAACAGATTGTGTGACATATCCATCTCACTGGTTGGATATGTTCCAGCGAGATTAATAAAATTTTTAAATTAACTCTACGTATTCAGAATATTGTTGCAAAACAAGATTTGAAGGATATTTGAAATTGGTACATGGCTACGGTAAATTATTCCAGGGAAAGACTGACTGGGTGATACGTGTTCTTGCAAACTGGCAATGAGGCATTCCATTACATGGGAAATTGAGAAATTGACATTTAAATGCTACACCCTCATCATATGCATACATGTAACTGCCATATATCAGGCACAATTGCAGACAGGACCATGCATTCAGTGCTATAGTGCATGCATTGGACAAGAGATGTGCAATATTGCATATAACATTAATGCTTGAAACAAAAGTCATACTTTACATTGCATCAAAGTTAATGCAATTTGACAATGTCTGATCATGGAGCTCCATACCAGTCGTACTTAGGTCGTGAGCTGCCATGTTTTGTTGACAATTGCAGATATTACGATAAAACACATATTTTCCACTTAAACAGACGAGACATGTAAGTATATAAACTGAGTATTCAATGAATGTATGTAAAACAATTGATATAATTCATTGGTGGAAGAAGGCAGGGATTCTAACAAATACAATTTTCCATGCCACGTCCGCCGAGGGTGTTGTGCTTTGGGAAATGACCGTGCACATGACTGTGTTCTAGGGCGATTTTGGTTCTAGTGGCGATTTATGTCAAAACCACGAACCAAAAAAACCATGGACGCTCTCGTACCTAGCCCTGAGTACAGTCCTGTAGGTTGGCCTCCTTCCGTTGATCATTCGGCCCTCACAGTCCTGAGAAGTCGCATAGACCGGGGATTCGACACTATTGTGAAAGAGTGTATCGGGCGATTTAAGAGGCATTCAGCTTTGCAGTTAAAAAATAAGCAGGTCGATACGTCTAACTATTCTAAATACCTTAACTGGAAGCGAAATTACCATAAGATTCCCACTAGGGTCGATAGAATCGACATTTTCCAACGTCAACCGAAAATATACG